GAGAGAGAGAGAGAGAGAGAGAGAGAGAGAGAGAGAGAGAGAGAGAGAGAGAGAGAGAGAGAGAGAGAGGTGTAAGATCTGCTTGGAGATTCTCACATTTTAGCGGACAGATACACAACTATGTAACACCAATAGTAACAATAACGTAGTAGCCACTAGCACATAATAAAATGGTAACGCGTACGTATTACTGAAACTAAAGATCAATCTATTTTGCCACGCGCGCATATTGTGCTACCCAGATAGAAGGCAACGTGTGAACTGATGTGAATTGGGTGTTCTAACATAGTGACTACAAATAATTATGTATTTTTACATCGTAAATGCAATACTAGTTGCAGACATATATCTACTATATACGGATAGTATTAGCTGTATCGCCACCACGTAATAACTCTTGCTGAATTTCAATATCGCATACGTGCGTCCCGCACGTGCGAAGGAAATAAACTAACCTAATAAATTAAGTTAGCTGGTTTTATCGATCCATAGCTACCAATTACTAACATTTTAGTATAAAATACACGTACGAACCGACGTAATGGGAAGGTAGCACGTTTTATGTCATCAATCTAGACTACATTTTGATCGATGAGTCTTCATTTGTCGCCAATGCTGCACGTGACCCCTTGTCGTATCGCCGCTGTTCAGATTCCCAACTCCCCTTACGGGTCACGAGCAACTATGCCGATGTACTGTGTGTGTTTCGCCCACATGTTGGCAGAGACATTGGCCAGTCAGTCAGGCGGAGGAATACGTGGTGGTGTACATGTACGTTCCCTACTAGTGTGCGGGAGCGAGAGAGACCAAGCATTGCAAGCAAGCAAGCAATACATGTGTGAAGTGCCTGCGTAGGGGAAGGAAACAATGCCAAACCGGTTCATAGACGTTGATATTCACGACCCGTAGCTAGGCAGTCTCGTCGATCCAGTAGTGCGGCCAAGTGTGTGTGTGTGTGTGTGAGAGAGCGAGCGAGAGAGAGAGGGGCAACCCTTCTCGCTAGCGTCTTTCACCCAGTTACAGCCAAGTACGGCCACGCTTCCTGCACGGCAAGGGTTGGGTAGCGATTGCTCGCACGACGGTCTGTGTTGGACGTCGTTCTACTGTGTAGGGAGGAGAAGCATCACGGGCATCAGGTGAGATGTCATGCTGCGTGGTGGTGTGTGGACTGTCGTTCGCTATAATTATATGTACTCCAGTATAATTCGTTATAGTGTTGCTGCTAAACGCAGTCGGTATGTGGCGTTGAGTAGCTTGGTGATATATGGAAGTTGCCATTTGGTCGTCCGTTCACACTACTTGTCGTTGTAGGATCTGTCGTGATCTTATGGTGTAAAACGATCGACAGAAACATGGATTGATTCACTGTCGTTGTTCATGTGGACTGATTAGTTCCAAGAAACGGTATTGCTAGGGTTAGAATACCCCGTCATAGCATACCCCGTCATGTATAGACAATCCGTCGCACAGCCTGGTCGGGCTAGTAGTGGACTGATCAGCGTCGCACAGAGAGGTGTTGGTTTGTGTGGGTGGATACGCCCAGGTTTATCGCTGCTACGCTATGTTGTTTGCGTAGATTTTCGATTTGAAAGGGAAATTGCTCGTTGATGGTGTTCACTCTACGGTGTGTGAGTCAACCAGGAACTCTAGCTGTTCTAGCCGTCTGACCCATATAGGTCACGTCGCGTCCGTAGCAGGTTCAAACATGTGCAGCGTGTGCGAGGGTATTGTGCCAGGAGGCTGGCTGTACGAGTGGGCTCCAGTTAGTACAGCCAGCAGGCACTTCTATAATATTTACAATAGATTCTATAATAAAATCATGGTAAATACACACAAAATGTATTCACTCGCAAAGTCTCAGTGTTTATGTATTCTCTATCGACTAATAATTCCACATAAATGCCGTTCGTATGCTTCTTCACAGAAAGATAGAGCAGCCTTAGCTCTAGCCTGCGGCCTGCGGCAACTGTACGCGGGCTATAGTACTAGAGATAGAGCAGCCGCCTATATCTATACATCAAAAGTACATGATAGGAGATTATTATCTCCTATTATGTACTCTTGATATACATCGGGAGCTAATAAATATTACATTATTATTATATATATATATATATATATATATATATAAT